TTTTTTTTACTGTCTCAAGCCCTTCATGACTTTGCCAAGATTTCTAAGTGGGTGCTGGGGACATTCCATACTCCGCAGCATTTCCTTAAGTGTGGACTGGACTTGATCCTATATATATTTTTTGTAACAGCTGCTTCCAAGATCCACAATTTACATTTGATTGAACTAATCTTGTTGCTTTTTGTTTGAAGCTGAGTGGTGGTGGTGGATGGACACTGGAGTATCCATTAACAACACCTGCTGCTCAGAATCAGCTAAGTATGGTCTGATGCTCTTCTCATTGTAATTGCTATTTTCACTTGGTGGGTTGGTGGTAATGAAGGCAAGCCAATTTTAACTGGATGGTAACTTCATACAGTGTCTACAAATTTAGACACTTTTGGGATGATGATTTTTTTTCCTCTTCCAAATGAAATTATTGCCATTGCCTCTGTCTTTGTTGTTGTTGAATTGAGCCCCTCATTTCATCCTCCTACAGTTAACACTTGACTGTCTAACTAGCCTCTTCACTAAAACTTCATGGCTATTAAAATCTTATTTGTTAAATTGGAAATGCCACCTTAATACCTTTGTGCCATACAACCATTCTACTGAGGTCAACATGCCTCATCAAAAGAATGATTTGGGGCTACGTGGGGGGTGTTACTCTGTAATTTGCTTAATCCATTCTATTTCAGAACTGGAATAACAGATTATGGATGTGTAGATTGGCGAGCCTGTGATTGTGCCCCCTCTCCTTGTGTAAAAAAAAAATTGGGATCACAAGTTACAGATTGGCAAGAGTGCTAGTTTGGTGCTAACTTTTTGTGTATTCTGGGTTTGAATTTGGTTAATAAAGTGTTTTTTAAGACCTTGAGCCTGTTGCAGTATTTTTTTAAAAAATGAATGCCTTTAGTGCTGCTGTTCATGGCAACCACATCTTAATCAAGTTATCTGGTCTCAGAAGTTATCAGACCTCTGTTTTATGTCTCTCTTTCCATGTCTGCTCTCCTTCCTTCCATCACGGCTCTCCCCTGATGTCTGCACTTTTTTCTAATCAGGCCCACCTGTCTCACAGGATACAAGTAATCCCTTGCTAGTGAAAATTTTTAAGTGTTGTATAAGAACAATAGCGTCTATTTGGTGCGAAAATATGCTTGGATATTTGTCTGCAGACAAGAAGAGAAGAGTTTTCCAAGTGCAAAGCTTGAGGAACACTGGGAGCTTCGAGGAACATTATTCCCAAGGACAAATATTCGACCACATAAAGTCAAAGGAGGGTTATTGCAGTTATTATCATTCAAACATTTTTCACAATTTGAAAAATGGCGAATATCATTCAGATATTCCACATCCAGTCATCCGACATGCTTTAACCAATCAGCAAGAGAACAGAAACTTTTGATGGTTATAAAGTTTAACAGACCCTGAGTTGATAACGTAGCATGAGAAAAATAGTTGGAAGAAATGGACCTATTTGGTAAAAGTGCGGCCATTTTCATTTCTTTTGTTTCAAATAGCTACCGAAAAGGTCCATTGCAAAGATTTGAGGAGTAAAATTGTCAGGACTGTTCTTACTGTGTCAGGGTATTGACAGTCTGTTACCAAGCGAAACAAGTATACTTCCACAACCTATTTTCAGCTATAACAAAACTCTTGGAGGGTAGCCTGTTCAAAAGGGTGACAAGGGAGTGTTAAGATTTGTGAGCTTGAAAAAAGCAAAGTAGGTGAACTAATCTAGTATTGGTGACTACTTAATTTGACTAAATAGTCTGCAAAGAGAAAGGATTATTTTGGTTACATTTAGGTCAACATGTCTAGCACTATCTCCCTAACATTTTGCTGACGTGAGAGAAGATACCCTTCCCTGCCTTCCGTCAAGGGTTGTGAAAGATATTCCCAGGTAGCTAAAGTTTGATATTTTAGTTTGTTTTGCTCCTGTACCAATATCAATTGAAAACATTTTAACATTTCCATTAAGTATCCTTGGGAATACTACAATAATTTGGAAGAGACCAAGAAAAGAATAATCTGCCCCACAACCAAAACCCTATAGATTGCTTATGCAATCTCCAGGTCAAAAACCTGAGTGTTAAGGCATGAAAGCATGCATACCTAGAGTGCCTCTGCTTGAGTTTACGTGAACTACCTAAATCCATTCATTACAGATCCATATTTCTCCCTTTGAAATATACTTCTTGCAGCCGGTTCTTTTTTCGTAGGATGCGTGATCGTGAATGAACAATGGTGGGGTACAGAGAAGAGGGAGGATGAAGAGGGCATGCCACACCCATATTAAAACCCCCTACCCGTCTCTGATTTTGGAGAGAAAGAAGTATAATGAAAGCGGTCTACTTTTACAGATTCAGTTAGCCCGTCCCAGGCATAGGGTCATTGGGAGAAGCAAGAAAAAGCGGCGAGAGAGGATTGAGGGGCGGGGCGGGGGCAGGGCCGCCTGTGAGAGGGCTTGGGGCGAGAAGCTTTCTAACGCCACACTAGTCTTGAAGCCTAATCCTTTTTTTCTCCCGATTTTTGTGTATTGCGTCCTTGCAGACCGAACATCTGGAACTGGCGGGAAATTTAGTGCATGCTTTTCAAAAACAGTCGCTATTTTCACCTATCCAGACCAGCCCAATTTATTGTTTACAACGTGCCAATTTAATTTGCACCATGAGACAGGCTGGAGACCAGACTCCCAATGTGCACAGTTTGGTGTCATATCATATTATTGTTCGCGGTGAAGAGTTTGAGCGACCGCTCGTAGATTGTCAGATTTGGCGGTCCATATCTCGCAAGCCTCAGGGAAGTCAGCTTTGCTATGACGTTTTACGGAAAGATGAAGTCTTATTTTATTTTCACCGTGGCCGTTTTAGGTGTTGTTGGGATTCTAATGATGTATGTGTACTCACAGAACGGTTACCACGATCGAAGAATAGCTGCCGTCGCGGCGGAATCTAGAACGTATAATTATCCTCATACAAACGTCGGAAAGAAATACCGTTTCGACGTCAAGGGAGAGGACATAATTGTTTTTCTACACATGCAAAAGACAGGCGGAACAAAGTTCGGTAAACATTTGGTAAAAAACTTGGACCTAAAATATCCATGCGACTGTGTTCCGAGACGGAAACGTTGTGCGTGCAAGAGGCCTAACTCCGAAAAGATTTGGCTTTTTTCTCGTTATTCGATGGGCTGGCCGTGTGGATTGCACGCTGACTGGACTGAATTGCAAAGCTGTGTTCCGAATATTATTAACAAACGAGAAGGAAAGAAACGAACAAGAAAATATCTTTACATTACAATTTTACGCGAGCCAGTTTCGAGGTTTGTGAGTGAATTTCACTGTTACCAGCGAGGTGCCACTTGGAAGAACTCGCTACATTTGTGTAATGGCAGAGCTCCAACGAAAGAGGAATTGCCACCTTGCTATACAGGAGAAAACTGGACAGATCTAACGCTACCGGACTTTTTGAAGTGTTCTTCAAATCTCGCCATTAATCGGCAAACTCGGATGCTGGCAGACTTGAGATTGGTGGGTTGTTACAACAGAAACGCGATGTCACGCGAACGCAGAGAAGAGATTTTATTACAAAGTGCTATGAAAAATCTTGACAGCATGGCTTATTTTGCTCTTATGGAGTATCAGATCGAAAGTCAGTACCTGTTCGAGAGGACGTTTGGAATGAAATTTCGACAGCCTTTTGTTCAAATGAGTAGCGAAGAGACCAGAGCGGGAGCGATTGTTCTGGACGCGAAGAATATCACGCGTATTCGAGATCTGAACCATCTTGATATTGCTTTATATTCGTTTGCTGAAAAGCTTTTCTTCGAGAGACTAAACTATTTTAAAAGAAAGGACGAGGAAGACATGTTAATGACAGATTCTTAGTGACGGCATTTCTCATCCAATCATATTATTCAATCCTTGCTCAAATGCATGCCTTATCTTTGTATTGAAATGCGGTTCCTAAAATGGCGTGTGATAACTTCTTAAATTAATCAATAGATATATTAATGTTTGTTTGCGAAAATGTTGGAGAAACTTATTTGTGGGTAGCGTGCGTTGTAAACGTGAAGGAGAATGCCTTTTTTTATGACATTTGACAAAGTTGGTACAAGAACGTGAAAAATGATCATCCCAGTAAATTTTCCAATTTAAGCAATTGGCAAGAGGAAGCCTGAAAAAAAAAATCAGGGCTTCAACAGGATTCGAACCCGTGACCTCCGCGAATACCGGTGCGATGCTCTACCAACTGAGCTATGAAGCCACACATTGGGAGCGAGGTCAATCAACTGAGTTCATATCTTCCCGTGAGAAGTGAAATGATGTGAAGTATATATGAAATAATTCATATTTGAACTGCGGTTGTAGATGAAAGTGAAGAATGATCATCGCAGTACATTTTCTAATTTAAGCAACTGGTACACTTGGACAATGGACGTGTGAACTGGGAACTTTGCTAGGACAACCACAGGAATCGATCAAAATGATTTATTTACGCGATTTGAGTGGGATGTGTGTGAGGTGTTGTGTTACATTTTGAGCCATTGAGAATTTGAGCACTCTAAAAGGCATTGCATGGAGTTTAAAATACTGAAGGATGAAAATGCGCAATGCAATAAAATGTTCCTTTTTTTTTAAAATCAAATGAAGAAAATAATTATACTCACTTTGCTTGGTTTCTGTTGTCCATCTGCCCTATTTCATCATTTTTGGGGGTCTTTGGGGTGTTTGTAGCCCCAAAAATGATGAAATAGGGCAAATGGACAACAGTAACCAGGCAAGGTGAGTATATTTTCATTTATAAAAGAGTAACATTTTATTTTGTTGCACATTTTTATCCTTCATTAATTTTAACTCCATACAAATAAGCCTTCTGGAGCGTTCAAATTCTCAACCTTTCCTCAAATCGCGAGTTTCGAATGCCTGTGGGACAACAGACAAGACATGGGTTATTAACCAAACATAAGGTCAAGATGGCTGAATATTGGCCTAGTTCTTTTTGTGTGTGTGTTTAGAATCTATGGGCCAAGATGGAGTTGAGGTCCATAAACACAGAAAACAAAGAATGAGGCCAATATCCAGCCATCTTGACCAAACAAGCTTGGTCAATAAAGGATTTATTAAATTATGGATAAAGAACACTATTCTTGCAGGAAACAGCAGGTAATCCCAGTGTTCAAGATAGAGGCAGCTTGCCTGCTCAGGTAGCCAATCACAGTGCAGGATTCGGTTTGTCTTGCCCATTCACAGAGCTAGATGTAGCCATATAATAAAACAGATTCATACCTGATGATTGGAGAAAATGGGGGGGGGGGGTGTGGGAAGTTAGACCCAAATATTTGCAGGGGAATGTGAGGACTTTGCTTCTGTTATAGTGGTAGATCCTAAGGGAATTGGCTGCAAGAAGAGTTTTCAATGGTGAGGAAGTAGGAGATAATACAATGTTAAATTTGACCCAAATGTTTGTGTATTCAGCTGTTTCAAGAAATGTCTGGCTAAACTGTAAAAAAAAAAAAAACAAAAAAAAAACCAAAAATGCAGCAATGTTCAAAGGTATTTTGAGTAATGCTGGTTTATGGTTGCTTGATTCAAGCAAAAGGTATTACAATGTCATTGAAGGAAACAGCTCAATTAAGCATGTGTACTTCATGCTTTGTCCGTCCTTCTCACCATATGCCTGATTTCCGGCTCCTTTCCCAAACAGCAGCTGGTAATCGAGCTTATTCTTACCGAGGCACTGTAAACCTCAATCAAACAACACCAAACTATCACTACCTATACCAACTGACACTGCCACACAGGCTTCAACACCTTTGTACCTTTGTCAAAACAGCTGTACTGTATAATGGCAAGCTGTATATTATATACGTTGATGTAGCTTTGTCAATCAATATTTGGCTCATGTTTGTAACTCTGTCTCAGTGATCTGATATTT